GTATAAGAGCATTACAGGTATAAGAGCATTACAGATATAGGAGCATTACAGATATAAGAGCATTACAAGCTGTTGAGCATTACAGGTATAGGAGCATTACAGGTATAGGAGCATTAACTAGACAGATGGTTCTAATCATTCCATCAGGCAGCGGTCCAGAAAATGACATTTTTACTGAATTTGTTTTATTTCTGATAATTAATTATTGCTAATTTGATATTTTCTTAGTTGAACTGTATTATACAAATTGATTACTAGATTTTAGTGAGATGATAGTCAGGTTTTTCTTAAGATTCTGCTACCATTTCCCCAGAGCACTGTCCCCCGTTGCAGATCTTTATTAATGATTGCCATCCATGCTTATTGTGGCAGCACATCACCTGACAGTGTGTCTCTCTGGTCGTAGCTGAGCTTGGGCTAATCTTGGGGGGGGGTACGGCTATCATTAAAACAGTCACTTGGCTGTCCTATCCCTTCAGCCCTGTCAGCAGACTTCTGTGACCATGATAGCTCAGTTACATTCTGATTGCTTGGTGTGAAGAGTCAGTGGTTATTCGGCGCATCACAGTCACTCACCGGCATGTCAGCACTGCACCTGTCATTGCGTTCATGCCCACAGATTTCTTACTGAGCAGTGTTTCTGTGTTTCTGTGGGCAATATGATGGTCGGCTCACATATGTCACCCTTTAGATCCAGAGCACAGCTAAATATATGGATGCTAAATGGCGCAGTTCAGCCAAATGTGATTTTCCAGGTTCATAACTAAATCATAACTCCCTTAGTGCACTGCGCCTCTGCTGTCAGAGTCAGAGCTAAATGTCATGCTTACTTTGACTGCAGCAGGAGAAACATTGGGTCACAGGTTAGTGATTTGATTTCTTTACTATTTATTAAACACACACCATCATTTGAGTGCTAGAATGATTTTACAGTACATGATAAATATGAGAATTCAAAACGGAGATTGCTTAGTTTCTTTGTAAAAACCAATAACCTTCCATGGTTCTGTTCCGGTGTCTCATGGATAAATGTAGTCGCCTGTAGCGTCTTGAGTCTAAAATGGGACAAGATAAGTGCATTAAGCCCTCATAAAACAAGCAGTACTGGCCTCCTCTCACCCAAAGGCAGGCCAACTTATCATCCTTGGGGAGCAGTACTGGCCTCCTCTCACCCAAAGGCAGACCGACTTATCATCCTCGGGGAGCAGTACTGGCCTCCTCTCACCCAAAGGCAGGCCAACTTATCATCCTCTGGGAGCAGTACTGGCCTCCTCTCACCCAAAGGGAGGCCGACTTATCATCCTCAGGGAACAGTACTGGCAGTACTGGCCTCCTTTCACCCAAAGGCAGGCCAACTTATCATCCTCTGGGAGCAGTACTGGCCTCCTCTCACCCAAAGGCAGGCCAACTTATCCTCTGGGAGCAGTACTGGCCTCCTCTCACCCAAAGGCAGGCCGACTTATAGTCCTCGGGTAGCAGTACTGGGCTCCTCTCACCCAAAGGCAGACCAACTTATCATCCTCGGGGAGCAGTACTGGCCTCCTCTCACCCAAAGGCAGACCGACTTGCAGTCTTCAGGGAGAAGTAAAAATTAGTGTGGCAAACATCCACTGTATCAATTGCTAAAATCCCTTTCCTACTCCTGGCAGGATTTCATCGTGACTGTGATCTTCTCCTTCATGTGGCTGGTCAGCTCCTCTGCCTGGGCTAAGGGGCTTTCAGATGTCAAGGTGGCAACGGACCCAGACGAGGTCTTGTTGCTGATATCGGCCTGTAAGGTGCAGGCTAACAAGTGCAAATCTGTGCATGGCCCCATCTGGTCAGGCCTGAACACCTCTGTGGTGAGTCCCTGTCCAACAAGATCCGAGCTACGTTTCTGAGGTTTAAGTTGCACTTTACCTGAGAGCTCATGAGTTTGGCTTACCCAGAATCTTATTAGCATAAGCAACCCAGAATGCTTGTTCTGTCACAAACAAGTCTACAGTTCTTTGGACTGGAGGAACTTTGTAGAAACTTTGTCTCCTCCTCGCAGGTCTTTGGCTTCCTAAACTTCGTCCTCTGGGCTGGGAACATCTGGTTTGTCTTCAAAGAGACCGGATGGCACAAGTCGAGCCAGAGGTACCCGCCTGACTCCTCGGAGAAGCGGCACAGTGGCTTCACCCAGCAGCCCTACAACCAAGGCAGCTGTGAGCAGGGCAACTTTAACCAATCAGGGGGCTTCGGCACTCAGGGGGACCTGGGCCAGCAGGTGACTTATGGCCAAGTGTACGACTATGCCACTCATGGGTCCACCTCATTGGCTAATCAGATGTAACCATGGTGATCTAGTCACCCCATCGGTGCAAGTTCAGTGCAAGGAGCTGGTATGTGTGACATGGCAAAGTGGCAACGAGCGTAGCCTGTTCTGAAGCCTGATGCATGATTTATGGGTCGAGGAAGAGTTTGGCTTCAGTGACGGCATTTTGGCGGGTAGCGGGACAGGCAGCGTGTGCCAGCTATTGACAAGTGTTGTACAAAGTCACAGATAGACGCATTCCGTCATTAAAGGTTTCCTCTCGTTTTTTCTATCTGTTGTGTTGACCATGGTTCACACTCTCCATCGCCAGGTCATGTTGACTCATGGTAGGGCTGTGCCACTGACCTTTCAATGGTAAATATTTCTCAAACTGATTTGCACTCTCGTGAAGGATAATGTGGTCATTTGTTTATCTGTTGAGGAATATTATATTGTAATACGTGCATGACTGTGGTGTTTAACATGCCTGTTTGTGTAGATTAAAATTAAATTATATTTAGTTTATATATCTGAACAAGTTTTAAATATCTGAAACTTTAAAGAATCAACTCAGGCTCATTTTGAAAATGGGCTATGCAAAAAAAAAATTCTTTATTGTTAAACTTAGTGTAACTTTTAACCAGATACATATTAATACATTTAAAATAGTATTTAAATATATCTGATCTTAATATTAATGCATTTAAAAGAATTTTTGCCTGGATATTTGCCTATATAACACAAAATATCTTTCTGTGGGATTAAAAATTCTGCTATTGTTATGAAGACCTGTAAGTGAAAATGTTCTGTTTGTTTACGGGTCCTTTTCTATATGTATTCTTACATGAGAAATGTAAAACAAGGCTGTGAAGACGGGCTGCATTTTTCTGTCAAGTTTGCTACCAATATGTTGTGATTGTGGACAGCGAATCACAGCAGTGCGGTAGCTGCTGCACGCATCTGCACGTCATGGTCCCTATCCAAGCTTGATGTATCCCTGCCACTTTGTACACCACTTGCTCCTTGGTGCCCCCTGCTGACTGATTTTATTTGTAATATTTCTAAATCCATTAATTGGGTTTATATGCATTTTAAAAGGTCTGTAATCTCAACAGACATCAAAAGAGATATTTTAAAGGGACTATTTCTTAACTTTGCTATGTTGTGTCTTGATATTCAAAGCATGTAACTTATTTTGCCTGGGAAAAATGCGTGTTATTAATGTTAAAATGTTCATGTGAAATTGTTGGAGTCCATATACTTATTGTAATCTGTACACGATTACCAAGTGTGAATGGTGTTGTATGTGAATTTGCAGTGGTGACAATTAAAATGTTGCACAAAACCAAATGTGAGGTGACTCTGTGTCTTCACTGGAGGAGGGAATAGACAATGTCTGGTAGTGAGGAAACCAAGTGAAAGTTATATTAACCCTGAAGGATCCCGCCCAGGACGGCTGAAGGATCCCGCCCAGGACGGCTGAAGGATCGTCCCCTGAAAATGTCTGTTATGCAGTTGTTGGATACCTTAATACAGGGCCCCCAAGCCAGCTCCTGGAGACGCACCGCCCTACAGAGCTTAGACGTAGCCCCAGTTTAACACACCTGACGCAGATAATCAGGTATGTTAATATATCTGGCTTAAATACTAAGATGCCATTAAAGGGCCTGATTATTTGCGTCAGGTGTGTTAGATTAGGGCGGCGCCTATGATCTTCAGGGTGGTGGGGCCCCATGAGCTGGGTTGGGCCACCCTGCTTTAAAACATGGCTGTACAAATTGTTGAATGTATAAAACTGAATAAGTGTTAATATGTGGTAGTATTTATATATCAGGTAAAAGAAAATGCCAGCAGTGGGTGTTTCATCATCTCAGGTTTGAAGCAGTGATTTTGTTCTGCTCCTATTTGAGGATCTGAAACATGAACGTGACATTGATTCGGTTCGTGTTCATTTCATCACAGATGCTGCGTCTGACTGCACCGTCTTGCCCAGGGCTGCTATGGCTCAGCATGTAGCTTGTGATACGGGGCTGCTATGGCTCAGCATGTAGCTTGTGATGCGGGGCTGCTATGGCTCAGCATGTAGCTTGTGATACGGGGCTGCTATGGCTCAGCATGTAGCTTGTGATGCGGGGCTGCTATGGCTCAGCATGTAG